ACAAAATGGAGGCAGCTGATGTTCTCTGGTGGAAACTCCTTTCATTGCCTGCTATGTAGAGTAATACTACATCATTGTGATGGTTGATTCCATTCCAACCAAGACTGTGAATAGGGATAATGTTGGCCCCCCGGCAGCAAAAGAAACATATCTTGTAAACAAACAGCATACTTTTAACACCCCAAAGGTTTCACACACCTTTCCACATTCCACTTCAGCAATTGGGGCAAGACAGTGTTTGGTTATGAGATTATCCTTGCTCCGCCATGAAACTTCTTGGTAACTTTGGACAAATCTCACCACCTAACATAATGTACAGAGCTGTCATGAGAACCCAGTGATGTAAAAATATTATTTTTTCATACAATACCCTCTGCTATTGAGAACAATAAGAACATAACTGCTATAATAAAACCAATAACTGGCCAATCAAGGTTTGGGGGGAGGACCAGACACTGACGAAACTGTGTTGTCAATAGGCACACTTCAATTTTTATTTATTTATATGTTTACAGAAGGCAACATAAAACCCCATTAAAAATTGGATATGACAATTTCATCCCAAATTTGATATAGCAGGAATGAATGTTGGGAATTTTCCGCATTTCAAACGGCTTTGCCATTTTCAGATTTTCATTTTATAAAAGAATAGCAGAGGAACTACATACAATTCTTAAACAATTCTTAAACAACTACATACAATTCTTAAACAACTATAGCCTTCATTAGATCAGCCAAAAAAAAAAATCTAACTTTGGTTCTGGGTTGTCTCTTTTCTGTTTAACATGGATTGTGCTTTCCTTACCAGATTATTTGTATTATTATTATTATTATTATTATTATTATTATTTGCAGGTTATTTCATGCATCTTAAGCTGCTTCTGTATGTAGCCATGTTGAAAGTGACAATGTAGATGATTACTGGTGCACCAGTGAAACATAATAAATTATGGTGTTATGCTGATACTGCAGGTAGATACAACTGTATATGTTCACGGTCAGGTTACTGATATTTCAGATAGCTTGCCTTCACCCAGTACTTGATATTTCAATCAGCTTAATGTTGCTTAGATGGAAGAGTTTTCCATCTGCAGATGCTTACATTACCTGGGGATGCTGTCTTGATCTTCCTTTGTAAAAACTGAACAAAAAACAAACAAACGCTATTTGGAGTTATAGCCTGCTTGAGGCTCTGTTTTCCATTTTTGTGCTCCTTTTATCTGGGGAAAAAACAAAACAAAAAACATTCTTTCCAAAACTAACTTCCACTGGTGAATTTATCTAAATTGCTCATGTGCAATCTCTTGTTTATTTTCACTACTGATTAGGTTTGATGTGCTTAGTGTCCTTCCTTTAATTGAATACTTCTTAGTTTATGTCCCTAAAAATATTGGGGGGGGGGCTTATATAGCAAAATAGCACATCACATTGCTTAGGGTCCAAGGAAATGCCCTGTGGGAATTGTATATGCTTGTTCTTGTGATGACAGACCCCACAATCTACTTTTGAAAGATCCCCTATTTGACACAGGGGACAGCTGTTTCAGAAACATAAGTGCCAATACGTAAGCCCCAAATGTAAGTACCAGTGAGTGCATGGATCTTAAAAGCTTATTTGTGTAGGTCACAGATTTTATTTGTATTTTTAAAAAATGTCCCAAATTCAACTACTTTTCCAATGCTTGTATTAGGACAAGTAATGGTCCCCTACTAAGGACTCCATACCTCTATTTCATTCAAACTGTAGGATCTTTTCTCTTGTGACACCGCATTTATTTATTTACGTTTATATTCCACCTTTCATCCATGATGCTCAAAGCACTGTAGAGTTCTCAGGTACTCCCAAAGGGTGAACCCAAACCAGCTTGCCTCATTAATGTTGCTGCATCATGGGCTTTCAGACAACGATCAAGGCCAGTCTTCGTCAATCTGGCACCTTCCAAATGTTTCAGCCTACAACTCCCATGATGGGAGTTTTATTTAATATTATTATTAGTAGTATTATTATTAAATTAACTACGTGTGTATACCACCCTCCAGTTGAAGATCCCAGTACACAAAAGAAAAATGCAAAACAAGACTAAATTTGCAAAGATGAAACTTTTCTTAACGCACATTGGGTAATTAGCCAAATAAGCCACAAACAGAGAGTAGACCCACTGAGTAAATTAATTTCAATGGGTCTACTCTGTGTATGTCTAATGCACCCATATCACCTGTATTTTCATCCCTCTAGATTAAATCATAAATTAGATTTCAGCTAAGAACACAGGTGGGAAAACCCATTTGGGTTACAGCAATGGTCAATCTATCTTAGAAGTCCAGTCGGATTCTTACAGAAAGCATCCTACAGAAAGTAGGATGGCATAAAGGTAACCAACTTCCTCTGCTCTATGAGTAGTTTACAACTAACATATCCCATCTCCTCAATGATTTCTGTTTGTGCAATGGGACTTTGCCCCTCTCCTTCCCTATACAGACACCCTCCCCTCCTCAAATCTGCCCTGGAAGGATGGGGCAACCCCCACAACAGATTTAGGGAACATGCCAGTGAAATGGACGGGAGCATTCCCCATTGTGCAACAGAAAATCTTTGCTCTGACAGAAGGCTTACTTAATGACACTTTGGATACAACCCTTTATCCTCAGCATCGGGTATTCAGAGGTACACTGCAGGCCTTCTAAACGTGAAGGATTCCATTAAGATTCCATTACGATTTATCTTCATTGATAAAATGTCTGTGGGTTGTCTAATCCTTTGCCAACACGATCAGTGTTTTTTATGGTAGGGATTCCATACATTAATGAAGTGCCGGGCCTAGTGATATATGACAACATTTTGTTGCAGATCCCCACGAGATGTTAGCATGTTGTTCCCTTTTCGAAATAAAAGTGTTCTATAAACATATGAATAGTATATCTATCAATACTTTCTGCTCTAGAAAAAATTCAGAGGAACCGCAGCAACGTTCTGTTAAGCAGGAAAGAGAAACATAATCAATATAACAGCGAAAGAAGCCTTCGTCAAATAACCTCAGTTTTATACCTTCCCTGCTGTGCTTCCACATGGAGTTCACATTCTCAGTATGTGGGCTAAGATTGTGAAGGGGATAATAGGTAGCTTTCTGTGATTTATCCCCCCCCCAAAAAAAAAAATTACAATGAGTAAATGGCATTGCTACTTATCTAGTTAACATATCTTAATTAACAGATGTAGTGAAAATTGCTACATTTTATTTATTCATAGAAACCCATTTTAGTGCAGAGCCAGCTTTAAACTATATAAAAATTCCAGTAATTATCCTTCAGAACTGCTTATTAAAATATCCAAATGAAGAATGCAGGGCTGTTCTTATTAATTTTACTTTGCATTGTTAAATTTACTACCCTTTGAATGGGAATAAATACTTGCTGGCAACACATAACTGATTTATTTCTTTGTGATGCATAATATGATAACTTTGTGCTTCTACAACAATTTCCTTTTGGGGGTCAGAAGCAATTCTACAAAAGCAGTTATTTTCCCACACTCCTGCGAGGAGAGGGTGCCTCGCTATTATGCTCGAAAAGATGCAAAACAATAACGGGGAGATTAAAGCCTTCGTTTTCTAAGTGCTGGCATTTTTACACTTTCTATTCAGAACTTGTGAGCGTCCTGTGGGCCTGCTCAACTTTAAGACATTAATTTTTTGGCACATTCTTCAGGCATGACAATAATCTATTCAAATGAATGAGCAACCATAAAGTGTGAGCTAAAAGCTCTAAAAACACGGCTTTGGCGGTTCTTACAGTTCACAACATAGGACTGTGTTCTAACCTTATACTCATGCAAAGAATGGTCTACAGAGAAGAGGACTCCCTGTTGGGAAAAAAGTCTTGGGCTAAAATTCACATAAATTATTGATAGAGGTGAAGTTTGAACTTCCCTACACTTCATGGAAGGTGGAACCCAATACAGTGGTACCTTGGAACAAGAACAGCTCCGTTCTTGAACGTTTCGGCTACCAAACGCTGAAAACCAAGAAGTAAGTGCTCCGGTTTTCAAACGTTCCTCAGAACCAAACATACGACACAGCTTCTTTTGTGCGAAAACCTAGCTGTCAGCCAATCGGAAGTCGTGCATTGGAACTCAAACGTTTTGGAACAGATTATGTTCGAGTTCCGAGGTATCTGTGGAGGGGCTATGGATTTGGAGCTGACTTTGCCCCTTCCATTCAGACAGTCTCATGTGACTATGAGAGTTATCCAGGGCTGGAATAAACATTAAGCAACATAAGCACATGCTTGGGGCATCAAGGGAAGGGACATAATACAATTTTTTTTCCGTTGCCGGATTTACCATGGACCATATGGTGCAGTTGAACCAAGTTTCACAAAAAAGACTCCCACAATATATGAGAAAATTACATACATATATATATATATATATATATATATATATATATATATATACACACTATAATAAAAATAATAATACATAATGATAAAACAGTAATACATAAAGTGGAAGTACATTGGTACCTCTGGTTGCAAACTTAATTTGTTCCGGAGGTCGGCTCTTAACCTGAGGTACCACTTTAGCTAATGGGGCCTCCCGCTGCCACTGCGCGATTTCTGTTCCAATCCTGAGGTAAAGTTCTTAACCCGAGCTACTACTTCCAGGTTAGCGGAGTCTGTAACCCAAAGTGTTTGTAACCCGAGGTGTTTGCAACCTGAGGTACCACCGTATACAAAAAAAAATCATCATTGTTTTCCATCTTAATGTAGGTTTTGTGTCATTTCAAAAAATAAAATTTCATTTTACGGTTTATTATTATTTATATTTTGAATTAGATATGTATGGGGGCACCAAAATCTTTTAAGCGCTTAGGCCTCTAAAGGTCTTAATCCGACTCTGGAGTTATCTATTTTCTTGTAAGCAAGAAGGCTAAATGAGGGTGCTTTAAAAAAGGAAGAACCCATTTGCCAGGTTCAAGACTTAGAAGAAAAAAGAACTTTCAGATCCTTGAAACTTTTATTGCACATTGATTAAGATATGGATGTAGAAATGTGTGGTGCTGGAGCAACAGAACTAGGAACCTTAGGACAGAGCAGCTGGCTACATCTCTCCCCAACAAGCTATTAGCTGTCATCTAAACAGAAAGCTGGGACGTGGGTGGCACTGTGATCTAAACCACTGAGCCTCTTGGGCTTGCTGATCAGAAGGTTGGCGGTTCAAATCCCCGCGATGGGGTGAGCTCCCGTTGTTCGGTCCCTGCTCCTGCCAACCTAGCAGTTCGAAAGCACGTCAAAGTACAAGTAGATAAATAGATACCACTCCGGCGGGAAGGTAAACATCGTTTCCGTGCACTGCTCTTGTTTCTCCAGAAGCGGCTTAGTCATGCTGGCCACATGACCCAGAAGCTGTACGCCGAAGCAAGATGAGCACCGCAACACCAGAGTCAGGTGGTCAGGGGTCCCTTTACCTTTACCTTTTTAAAGAAAAAGCTTAGGCAAAACCTAGCAAGAGCAAGTGGTCATGCAAGAATATGCTTCCTCTGATGCTTCCTCAACTTTTGAGATAGTTGCTTAGATCAGACAAAAAGCAACTGGTAAAGGGATCAACAAGTAAAGTGCCTGATTTACATAATTAGCAACAAATGGGCATAATATGCAAATTAGGCCATCCAAATTTTGAGAATTCAGATGTAGCAATCTTACCCAGGTCTTGCCATCTTTCTAAGGAAGACAAAAGCAAGGCTCTGTGCTCTACACATACACACAGGAAGCATGCAAATTCAATAATGAGAGCTTATCTTAAACCGTTTGGGGCTATTGTTCAAAGGAATATGCACCAACAATAGTCATATTTCAAGAAAACAGCTTCGTAGTCAGTAAACAAAAGACAAACATTTTCCTTTCCTCTCAGTGAGAGATGCACACAAAGTAATTATGCTAAGGGGAAGCTTAATTTATGAAAATGTTGTTTATGCACTGTGCCCCAACACGGAATAGTGATTGACAGATACTTCAGTATGTCTGGAGAGAATTGTGGAAGTCCAGGGAATAAAACATATTTGCCTGTGGTGAATGAAATGTGAGTGCCGGCACCAAGAATTTCTAGGAGCCGAATAATTAAATGAACACACAAACAAGCACACACACACCACCAATAACCTCTGACTGTGAATCTGCAAATGGTTTAGAGGTACTGTTTGATTAGTCTAAAAAACAGTAGGAAGAAAAGTCCTTGTAGTTTAAGAAGACAACAACAAGAAGAATGATATGTATAAACACATGGGCAGGGACTCCAGCAGCACTTGAAATGATGTAATAGCAGAAAGTGAGGTGTTCAGAGACTTCACAGATGTGATTACAAACCTGCATGTGAAGCAATGAAGCATTATTGAAAAATGTGCCTTCTTGAGGCCGTAGAATAACAGAAACATAGAATTGTAGTCATCTAGTCTAACCCCCTGCAATGGAGGATTCTCAGCTAAAGCATCCATGACAGATCCATGACCATAACTGTCAAGTGTCCCTTATTTGAAGGGACAGTCCCTTATTCCAGCGCCATGTCCCGCTGCTGTCCCTTATTGCTGGATGTCCCTTAAATGTCCCTTAAATGATGTCCCTTAAATTTCAAAGGAAGCATCTCCTCTCCCTCCCTCCCTGCCGGCCAGGGAGGAGGGAGGCTCCAACTGTGTTGCTTGGCTGTGTTGCTCACCCAATAAGAAGTCTAAGAACGACTGGGGGGTGGAGCTTGCATGCCTTGTGTGTGGCTAGTTAATGCAAGCTGAGGAGGTTTTTGAATGCTGGATGCCATTTTGTTGCACGTGCTGCTGCAAACTTTGCAGTGCAAAGCCAGGCCAGGGAGCCATCTTAAGTTGAGGCTGCATAGGCCTTGTGGTGCATGTGATTCAGATTCTATTCAGTTGAACCTCTGGTTACAAAGTTGGTTGGACAGTGTTCTTGAAGCTACCAGTATGAGTTTGACCAGACTGCAGGAGGACAGAAAGACTGCAGTGCCTGGAACAGGTGAGGCTGCAGGTCCCTTATTTTGGCTGCTGGTCCCTTATTTTCAAGGCTGCTGGTCCCTTATTTTCAAATCTGTAAGTTGACAGCTATGTCCATGACCATCCACCCTCTGCTTAAAACCCTCCAAGGAAGGAGAGTCCGCAACCTCCTGAGGGAAACCGTTCCACTGTCAAACAGCTCTTACTGACAGAAAGTTTTTCCTGATGTTTAGTCAGAATCTCATTTCTTTTAACTTGAAGCTATTTCTGCAGGCACATTATTTTTTAGGAGAGGGAATAGGTCAGCTTTCACTTGCAGTCTGAACTGGTACATCCTAGGAAAAGGGTTTTCATTTCATGCTTCTCCATCAAGTTCAAACTAGGTTTTAGTTCCTGTGGGATAAAATAAAAAGGCTGTCGTCTGTGGCACAGCTGAATGAGGGCAAAACCTCTGGATCTCCCCAGACAGCAGGCACTAGGAGCATGGGGCAGCTCCCTTCTTCATCGCAAAATGGTTCCAAAATGCGTCTCTTTGTATGGCTGCCATTTTTATTGAGACAGACCTGCTCTTCATCCCTGATTGACATTAGCTAGTCTAGCCCTTACTGACAGAAACCGAATAGAGTAGATTCTCCCACCTGGTGCCCTCCAAATATTTCAGACTACAACAACAAGAAGAATAACAGTTTGGATTTGATATCCCGCTTTATCACTACCTGAAGGAGTCTCAAAACGGCTAACATTCTCCTTTCCCTTCCTCCCCCCAAACAAACACTCTGTGAGGTGTGTGGGGCTGAGAGACTTCAACGAAGTGTGACTAGCCCAAGGTCACCCAGCAGCTGCATGTGGAGGAGCGGAGACGCGAACCTGGTCCACCAGATTACGAGTCTACCGCTACACCACACTGGCTCTCCCCTCCAGTGGTGAAGGAAGCCGCTTGGGCTCCTGGGGTGGTGTGCTCAGGGGCAGGGGGCACCGCCCATGGGGTGGGACACACCTTGGGGCCTCCGGAGTCTGCCTGCTTCCTCCCACTCAGCCACCCTACCGCTGGGGGGGAGGCAATTGGCAGACTGTTTGGGCGCCATGGAGCTTGCACACGCTCAGGCCACTGCGTCTGTCCCAGGAGAGACGCATGGCTCCAGTGCGCTGCAGGCCCTGCGGTGAGTGCCGCCCAGCATTTTGTCACCCCACTCAGTAGTGACACCCGGGACGGCCTGCACCTACCGCACCCCCTTCCTCCGCCCCTGCTCCCCTCAGCCCTAGCAAGAAAAATTGAGGAAGACTGCAATCAACTGAAGACTTCTATCCCTGTCCAAAACTGTGTGTATGGAGGTCGATGGGGCTTGCAGTCAGAAGCATTTGAAGAGCACCAGGTTGGGTAAGGCTATTGGAGAGGGATACCTTCTGAAGAATACAGAGAAACAGAATGAACTTCCCAGGGTTCTCTGCATATATGTGATCTCCCTCTATTGCCTCACCCCTAATCCACTGACAGAGGTAAGTTAGAAGAAGCCACAGAAACCACTGATGTGTCCTAAGTGGGATTTGTCCGGAAGTATGATTTATCTACTTTATTTTTCTACTTTGTGGTGAGTATTATTATTATTATTATTATTGGGGGGGGAGAGAAGAGGAAGGCATATATTAATGTTTGAAAGTTAGAAGACAAACAACCCATACATTTTCAGGATTGTAGGGGGGCATGTAAATGAATGTGTGAAGTTACTGGAATGTTGTCAACCATCATTGAGTAAGATAAACACAAATGGCTGTCAGGCGAACCATGGAATTGAAAAATCAGCCATTCAGTATAGACAAATAATATCCTTTTAATTATATATAATACAGTACAGTGTACGGAGAAGAAGCAAGAGAAAGCGAGCTGTGCTGACGGGCGCTTTTATGGTGTGTGCAGAGCTTGAATGCTAATGTTCCAAACTCGTCTGAAGTTCCTCAGCTACGCAATTCCATTTCATGCTAGTTTGAAACAAGCATGGACAAGGGCTGTGAGTTCATCATCTTAAAAGCGTGAGAATGGGTATATGCATTTTGCAAAGCAGTGCTATGGCTCATAAAGCATGAGATACACTGCCTTCTTCCACCAAATGTGCACCTCAAATAAGATAAAATTGAGGCACCGCAGTACAGCAATTAAAGATCAGTATTTCTTAAAGCACCACACTTTGGGAAGAGGGTCAACTGGCCGGGCTTCCCCCTGCGCAGGTGAGCAGTTGGCGCAACACAGCCCGCTATGCTCCAGTGGGGGTATGGTAGCTCTGGCAGCATAAGCAGCAAGAGCTGGGATGGTCTCCACCCGGCGCATGTGTGATCTCCCCAGGTGCCAACCACTGGTGCTACCCTGCTGGATAGCAGGATCCCATCCCCAGAAACACTGGACATTGTGGATGTTCTTTGAATGCGACGGACACTGTAGAACATATTCTTTTCTACTGTCCATTATACACCAGCTACACAAACACATGCTATCCCAATTTTGGGGTAATCTAACATCACAGAACAATGAAAATATCAAATTCTATCTGTCTGACATTAACCCGGAAGCAACTGCAAGGGTGGCTGAGTTTTTGTCAATAGTATCTCTTAGAGTGGTGAATGGCACTGTTTAGTGGGAAGAAACTCCAATGAAAATCCTTGTTATTACCTATTTTACACAGCTGTTTATTTGTATATATTTTTAAATGTTATATATGGATGTTTTAGGATGGCCTCTATTTGTAATACCTAATAAAGGTTTGGGGATGCGGGTGGCACTGCGGGTTAAACCACAGAGCCTAGGACTTGCCGTTCAGAAGGTCGGCGGTTCAAATCCCCGCGACGGGGTGAGCTCCCGTTGCTCGGTCCCTGCTCCTGCCAACCTAGCAGTTTGAAAGCACTAACCCTATTTAATAACCCTATTTAACGTGGATTACAAAATTTTTGCGGAAATTATGGCTAAAAGATTAAAAAATGTATTGGTAAAAGAGATTCATAAAGATCAGGCAGGCTTTCTCCCTGGGAGACATTTGTCAGATAATACTAGGAATATTATTAATATTCTGGAAAAATTGCAAGTTAATATCAACACTAAAGCTGTTTTAATATTTGTAGATGCAGAGAAAGCGTTTGACAATATTTCTTGGAGTTTTATGAAGAAAATTTTGCAGGGGATGGGGGTAGGTCAAAGTTTTGAAAATGGTATAGGTGCAATTTACTCGGAACAAAAAGCCAAGCTTATTGTGAATAATGTAGTTACAGAAGAATTTAAGATAGAGAAAGGAACAAGACAGGGTTGCCCAATCTCCCCATTGCTTTTTATATCGGTCCTGAGGTTTTGCTCAATATGATCAGAAAAGACCAATTGGTTAAAGGTATACAACTCGGAGCTAAACAGTACAAATTGAAAGCTTTTGCTGATGATTTAGTTTTGACACTACAGGAGCCAGAAGCTAGCACAAAAAAGAGTATTACAATTAATCCAAGAATTTGGTCAAGTAGCAGGTTTCAAATTAAACAAGATGAAAACTAAGGTATTAGAGAAAAATCTTACAGAGATTGAGAAGGAGAGGTTTCAGAAAGAGACAGGATTAACAATCGTTAATAAAGTGAAATATCTAGGGGTGAATATGACTGCCAAAAATGTGAATCTGTTTAAAGAGAATTATGAAAAATGCTGGTCAGAAGTGAAGAAGGATTTAGAAATATGGTCAAAATTGAAGTTATCATTGTTAGGCCGAATTGCAGCGATAAAGATGAATGTATTGCCTAGAATGTTGTTTTTGTTTCAAACATTACAAATTGTGGACAAAATGGACTGTTTCAAGAGGTGGCAAAGAGATATTTCCAAATTTATCTGGCAGGGCAAAAAACCTAGAATAAAATTTAAGATATTAACAGATGCGAAGGAAAGAGGGGGATTTGCCCTGCCAGATCTTAAACTTTACTATGAATCAGCCGCTTTTTGTTGGCTGAAAGATTGGCTACTTCTTGAAAATGTGGACATTTTGGACCTAGAAGGTTTTGATAATGTGTTTGGATGGCATGCATATTTATGGTATGATAAAGTTAAAGCGCATAAGGCCTTTAAGAATCATATTGTCAGGAAAGCATTGTTTAATGTCTGGGTGAGATATAAGGATTTGTTGGAAAGTAAAACACCAAGGTGGCTGTCACCAATGGAGGCAAAGGCATTGAAAAAAACAAATATGGAGACAAACTGGCCAAAATATTGTGAAATTTTAGAACAAGTTGGAGATAAATTAAAATTGCAGAGCTTTGATAAATTAAAAACTAAAGTTCGAGATTGGCTTCACTACTATCAAATAAGGGAGGTTTTTAACCTAGATAAAAGATTGGTTTCCAGGAGGAAAAATCTAAACTGGAAACGGAATTGTTAGAACCTAAAACTAAAAATCTGTCAAGAATGTATAATCTGCTGTTGAAATGGAATACACAGGATGAAATGGTTAAATCTGCGATGATTAAATGGGCACAAGATGTTGGGCATAATATCATGTTTGCCGACTGGGAACGGTTATGGACCACAGGTATGAAATTTACGGCTTGTAACGCCTTAAGAGAAAATATAATGAAAATGATATATAGGTGGTACTTGACCCCAGTCAAGCTAGCAAAAATCTATCATTTGCCTGATAATAAATGTTGGAAATGTAAAGAAAATGAAGGTACGTTTTTCCACCTTTGGTGGACGTGCCCAAAGATCAAGGCCTTCTGGGAAATGATATATAATGAATTACACTTTTGTGAAGAAACCAGAGGCTTTCCTCTTGGGCATGGTCGGCCAATTGGTGAGAAGGGAAGACAGGAAATTTTTTATGTATGCGACAGCAGCGGCAAGAATACTCATTGGGAAATACTGGAAGACACAAGAATTGCCTACCCGAGAAGAATGGCAGAGGAAAGTGATGGACTATATGGAACTGGCTGAGATGACCGGCAGAATTCGAGACCAGGAAGAAGGGTTGATGGAAGAAGACTGGAAAAATTTAAAATATATCTTCAGAAACACTGCAATATAAAAGAATGTTAGAAAAAGGTTGGAGAAGAATATTAGACCGTATTGGCAGACAGGGTATAATGGAATAAGTAAATATGAAGTGTAAAATGAGGATAGAGGAGAATTAAATACTTTCGAATGTTAAAATAAGTAAAAGAAAAGAAGGTTAGAAGGATTTGCTGGAGATACGATTTAAACTAGAATACAAAGCAGGGAGGTGAGAGGAAGTCATGGAAAT